AAAGAACCCAGTTCCAGTTTTAAAAGCTGCTGAAAAAAACTGAAGCTTTAAGACAAAAGTGCGGGATTAACAGGAAGAACGGGGAAATCTGGGATCCTGATACTTGATATGCCTTTGTGAGCAGCAAGCATTTTGTCATTGTTCAATCAAATATCCTAATATAAATTTAGGTTACTATATTACTCCAAGTTAAGCTAAAGTATTTAGACAGTATATCATAATTTGTGTTATAAATCAGAAAACTATGCAATAACTTTGCTCGAGACTAAAATAACAATGTTAAAAACTCACTGAAATGCTTAAACAATACCAGTGACATTTCATTACATCATTTTTCAAATACATACACATTTTATTAGGTAGATTTACAATTAAGGTAGGTGCTAAATGTATTTAATTTTCAAATGCCTTTGGGGAATTATCACATTATCTTGTAGTTAAAGGCTCAACGTCAATCCTTTCTACCACCAACAGAAACACAAAGACAGATGAATGGATGAAGAGAAGAGTCACTGGCATCCTACCTGCAGTGAGTCGGTGGTGTGGGAGGTTTGCTGGCCAGCCTTTCCATATCCCTGACCATGAACTGTCAGCAGCCGGCCAGTCAGATCTACTGCAGCCCGCCAGTTCTTTTTGCTCTGCAGGGGAAACACGCCACAGCATCATGAAACACATGCCATGACTGACTGATGGAAACAAGGACTAGGGTCTGGGGTCCAGGTCTAAAACATCTCAGTCTGCTTCTAGCTATCCTAATCGCACACACTTAAGAGAACATGTCAATAACAAGACTTGACTATATCCAAATACACATACATATTGAACCCTTCAATCTGCTCCACAGGGAACATTTGTTGCCTGTCTCCATTGTTCTCACACAGGGATAAAGGTTTCAGCAAAGTATAATTTCATCTTATTACACCACAGGTCTTATTTTCAAAGGTTTGGCTATTGCTTGTATCAATTATGAAACCAGTGTATTCAGGGTACTTTCTGAGTTCTGGGAATGTTGCAACATCACAGCAGGGCAAAAATGAGTCCAAAGCCTAGGCTGGCTTGTTCTGGAGCTTTTGACGGTATCAAACACTCCTCATCCACAGATTTAGTTTGGTCAGTTGCAACAGAAGTGTTATTGTTTAAGCACTATGTAATTATCGGAGTACTTTGAGGCTGTGTCAGAAATCACTATACTTTAATGTAAAATGTAGGCACTACATAATGCCCTCAAAAATTCCCACCACACAATGGAAAGAGCCGTGTAGATGCCACGGACACTGCTTTTTCTGCTAACAATTCCACACTGTAATTGTAAAACAATACAGTTATCAATGAAGCAGCAAAATGATGTTTAGAAGTGTCTGAAATCTCAATTTACTGCTCAATTACTTGGCGTCTTTTAATGTACATATGGAATAGTGAATGAATGCCAGGGAGTGATTTCAGACACTGCCAAGGAGTTTCTTCAAGCTTTTAAGCCAACATGAGAACAAATTCTAGAAGTACCAGGACAATTCATGTGCTGATGAATGAAGACCATCAAATACAGTCAAAAGCTCTCTAACAAGCAGGTAAGTGGATGCTGAATTGAGACTGATTTGTCAACAATCTACAATCAGGCTGTAAAAATTGCAACAGACGATCTAAACCACAGCTAAAATGTCAGAAATGATCCAGTAGACCTGATGGCTAAAGGACAACTGGATGGTTTAGTGTTTGAATGATAATAGTATATTTCACCTTCATTTCTCTTCTAAAGACGTTTGGCCTCAGGGTTTGTTTACAACTTTCCTGATTGATTGTTTGTGTAGGGCTGCAACTAATATTCATTTTAATTCTAATCTCTCAGTCTGAATGAATTGTTTAAAAAATTAAACAGTAAAAAAAGCCCTCCAACAGTACAAAACCTAAAAAAATGTATTTTACAATGATAAACAGAGAAAGGCAGAGAAATCCTTATATTGAAGCAGCTGGAACCAGAGACTGTTTGTTGTTCTTAACTGATAAATCACTTAGTATAAATGATTATATCAGTTAAACAGCCAACTGCTTCTGGGCTTTGCTCATCTCTTGCCAAGTCAGACGTTTTCTTTGAGATTCTTGCTGCGTTCCTTGATCTCAGCAAATAACTACCGAGTACAATCTTACTATTAGAAATAGGACTGAGGGGCACATCTATAAAAATATTAAGCGACAATAAACTGGAAATATGGTTTAATGTAACACATTTCTAAGCTTTTTAATCCAAAAAGCTCACACAAATTCCTAACAGGAAAAACAAAAGAAAAGCTATTTGAACCAAAAATGAGGTTTCTCAGTGGAAAAGTAGTCCACCAACAAAAAGCACGACATTTAAGACTTCTAAAGGTTAAAAAAAAAAAGGTAAGCACAGTTTTAAGGTCTTGAATTCACAGAGGATAACATTTAGGATAGCTCAGACACAGATTCAAGATAACAGGAGATGATCTACCAAAGCCCTAGTTGTCTTATAGCTGATATGAATGTGACATGTGATATTATTACAAAAGAAATTTCACTACATGCAGAATAAAGTAAGGCAGGTATGTGTGTGTGTGTGTGTGTGTGTGTGTGTGTGTGTGCATGGCTAAGTGCACAATTCAAAATGCTTGCGCTGGACTGTAAAGTGATGCTGGAGGACAAGGTGCCTACACACAAACCTGGACAAGTGAGCATACACACACACATATATGCACACAAACACACCTAGATATTAGCAGCATCTGCTTCCACGGGAGGTGGTACAATAGGTAAGAGAGACACAGAGGTGGGAGGGGGCTGTAGAGTCACCCCACCCCATCAACACACATGACAAGGTCGGCTCGCCGATCGGGTCCTAAGTGCTATGCCATTCATCACAGCCGCAGGGCTAATTAGGAGAGAGAGAGAGAGAGAAGGAGAGGGCTGGTTTCTTTCTAGTCATCTTTATCAAAAAAACTTGTCACCCTTCTCTCTCTGTTCCTCTGTTGTAGCTCTCCTCTCTTCCCCACTCATGCTCTCTCCTTTCCCCTTTCCTCCTTGCCTTTCTCCTTTCTCTCCCCTCATCAGGATTCTCCCATGCTTTTTCTCCCTAAATCGACTCTTCTCTTTCCCCTCCCTCCCCTCCCACTGATTCTCATTTCTGCCTCTTCTCTTTCTGCTGTCATCGCTTCCTCCTCATCCCTCCTTCCTCTCCTGCCCTGTGCCAGTAGCTGCACTGCCTCTGAATCTTCATTAGAGGGGGAAATGAAGCTGAAAACGAGGAGGCAGCCTGGATGGCCAAAAGCAGCTGCACTCACTCACACTCACTCACTCACACACACACATCCTACAGTACAGTACAGAACACTGCTGCCCTGCAATAGGGCACACTGTAGGAAGACAGGTGTGTGAGGGTGTGTTTCTAAGTGTCTCTGTGAGATCCTCTCTCTCACACACACAGCTGAGACAGGGCACGAAGGATAAGGAGTGTCAGAGGATATATAAGCAGGATCGAGATGGAAGACATCTGTGGAAAAAGAGTGCAGAAGTCAAAGATGGCCATAGTGGAAGAAAAAGATTAAAAAGAGACTCTAGCCCAAAAGAGATGGAAGGAGGGAAAAAAGGAGTGACAGGTAGCAGAGTTGAGAACAGGATATGAGGAGAAGAGAGCTAAGGGCCAAGGGACCTGCAGAGAGGCACTGCAAGGACCTGGAGTGGGAAAAAACCCATCTGAAGCTGGAGAAGTCAACTTCAGCTCAGGCTTTACACCGATCAGCCATAACATTATGACCACCTGCCTAATACTGTTTACATAGGAGACAACGTGACAGTTGGTTGACACTCGTGTCACTCTGCAGCTCACTGTGCATCTTCTGTGAATCCATTTACTTCCACAGTTCTACTGTCAGGAAGAGCACAGATGTGTCTACAATTCAGTGAAAAACTTATGTAAAAGAAGTGAAAACTGGTCGTGAGGACGAGTTAGAGAGAATTGTTTAGACAAATCCAACAGCCTCACCACTCTAGGTGTGATATCACCACTACAGCCCCTGACTCTTTCTCTTCATAGAGACCAATGTACAGTATTTCTCATTTTCAACCATTTTAACAAAGATTCAAATTTAATCTTTTGAAAAGTACAAATGGAAGTTAAAAGTTTAATCTACAGTAGGTCAACCTCATCATCAGTGAGCCATGGGCGTCCATGACCCTGTCTCCAGTTCACCATTTGTCCTTCCTTAGACACTGTTGGTAGGTACTAACCACTACAGACCAACAACACCCACCAAGACCTGCAGACTGGGAGATGCTCTGACCCAGTCATCTCACCATCACAGGTTGGCCCTTGTCAAAGTCACTCAGATCCTTACACTTACCCATTTCTCCTGCTTCCAACACATCAACTTTGAGGACTGAATGTTCACTTACTGTCTAATATAGCCCACACACTGACAGGTGCCACTGTAATAGATAGTCAGTGTTATTCACTTCACCTGCCAGTGGTCAGAATGCTATGGCTGATCAGTGTATGCAATAATGCAGCACTGTTGCTATGCCTAGCTTTATAGTGTAATATTACTTTACACCAGCCTATAATTTTAGGTCTCTAACCACACCAAAGATTACAGGCATACAGTAAGACAGAAGCTATGATTTGAGTAGAGGCAGGCAGACTGTATAGTTCAAGTGGCAACCTCCTGTGACCAGAAGACCATGAGGTCAGTCTTCATTAAAGATAGTATGCAATTCTAAGTGCCCTTAAGTGAAATAATGACAGATGTCTCTGCTCAAGTGTAATCTCTAATGGTTGAACCTAAAGTTTGATTCCACTGATGAAAAAGTCTAACAATCACAGACTGGAGTGTGGTCAAGATGCTAATTTAACATTTAGAATATACAGGGTCTTGTTTCCATCTGTCAGCATACATTATGGTAAATGAAATTCATATTCTATCATTTCAGTTTCTGTCACATAGGCCCAGTATAGCTTGCCTCAGGGATCACACACACACACATTTCTGCTACAGCCACACAGCAGGACATAACCCACGCTGACCTTTGCTATCGTGGTCCTGCTTAGTAACAGAGCAAACCAGGTCCATCACCTCACTGCTGCTGTTCATTAGCCTGTATTTTATCAGACAATTAGTGATCATAAGAATACAGTATAAAGTTTAAGTGAATTTCAGGAATGCTAACAAGCTGATGTTTAGCAGTTAATGAGTATGTTCCTCATCTTAGTGTAGCATGTTAGCATGCTGTCTACTAATTAGTACTAAAAACAAAGTACAGCTGAGGCAGATGGGTATGTTACTAGTTTCACAGTTAATTGGTCATAAATCAAAGTACGGACCTATGGACCTGTTACTGGTGCTAAATGAAAAGTCAGAAGATCACCATAGTCACCCAAGTTATTTACAGTTCATCCCAAGATGGGCATAACTATTGTATGTGGAAAGAGAAAAAGAATTATCCACACACTTTTGTGCCTTTCTGCCATAAAAATTTGTCCCAAATTTCATAACAATCCATCCAATAGTTCTCAATATATTTCACTCAAAACCACAAATGTCAACCTCATAGTAACAGGATCACCAACATCATTAGAATACGCTGTCTGGGAACCGTAAACATGTCAGTGCAAAAGTTACAATCTATTAAA